CTTATTCCATCCCCAACCCACTCTCATTCCAATCCTTATTCCATCCCCAACCTCAGCCCATCCATTTGCTGCTCATATACCCATCTCATCTCGATGCTACCCTACCCCCACGCTATCCCGATCCCTATCCCACCTATATCTCTATCCAACCTCGATCCTATCCCACCTCGTCCCGTACCCCGTGCCCGTCGGTTCTTGTCTTAATCATCATGCTGCCTTCACTACACTCCCCGGTGCTTGAACTCGTGTATGTACGAACCGTAGCGCAAACTACTTTGTTCGGCAGTCAGTGAGTGATTCCCGTGGCCAGTCAAAATAGATGGGAGCTGTGCGCGGCGCCAGTACAGTACAGGGCATGTGGCTCACGTTTAAAGGGTTCCACAACCCGTCCTGCTACTCTCTCTCTCTCTCTCTCTCTCTCTCTCTCTCTCCCTTCTTCTCTCTCTCTCTCTCTCTCTCTCTCTCTCAATCCTCTCAACCGGAATATCAAGGCAGACACTGTAGCTCTTCTCTCGTTTAGCATTTGAGAGGGTGTGGGTCTATGTTCCCCTTGTCACTACACTTACATATACGATCTGTCAGGGTAGTATGTGAGAGACAGCCTGGGGATATAATACATCAGTGATAGTCAACCCTTGATGGATGATTAGCATATATTAGATATAGCTTGTAACTATATTATCCGTCCTGACTGTAAACAAATTAACTGGGAAGAGGCTGTTAATTTAGATTTAGTGTAAATTTCGTTGCGGGATCTGACACGATGACCAAATATGGTCATATATGAGGCGAATATTACCTGATAATCCCCATATTGCATCGTACACAAATCTTGTCAGTATTTTTCATGCTGTAAATTCAATTATTTGCTAGTATATAATGAGTGTCTCATGCACCGTCCAACTCTGACCGCATAGCCGCACGGACAGGCACCGAAGCAACCTGTCGTTTGTACCGCGCCCTCCCATGCCTGTATGTGTCGGTCATATTTCAACCTGCAGACCTGTCTGCCAGGGGGAAAGTTTGGTGATTGTTATATGATGCCCCGTATACTAAGCTTCCCTCCCACCCATCAATCAATCATTATAACTAAGTAGACATTCTATGACCGCGCAGATCTTCGTTATCCTAGTATAGTGTAGACTATATAACTCCACTCGCTGTGACCGGACCACGTTAGTGCGCAGGTCTTTATTATCCTAGTATAGTGTAGACTATAACCCCACTCGCTGTGACCGGACCACGTTAGTGCGCAGGTCTTTATTATCCTAGTATAGTGTAGACTAACCCCACTCGCTGTGACCGGACCACGTTAGTGCGCAGATCTTTATTATCCTAGTATAGTGTAGACTAACCCCACTCGCTGTGACCGGACCACGTTAGTGCGCAGGTCTTTATTATCCTAGTATAGTGTAGACTATAACCCCACTCGCTGTGACCGGACCACGTTAGTCTGATATTACTAG